CTGCAGAGGCAACGGCTGCCCCACCCCATCGCACCAGAGAGCCCCTGGAGACTCCTGCTGACATCACTGGAGCTCTGTCAGGGGAGGGGGCTCCCCAGGGAAGAAAAGAAACCAGACAAAGAGACAGAACAACAAAACCAGCATCATGGACTGCAACTTTAGGAATAACTGTCCCTGAAACCTGGAGGTACCAGGAGGATCCCCAGTGCCTCAAGGCAAGGGGCTATTAGATGGAGGGGAAGCTGGGGTTGCTTATGGGGTTCACCTGATCCTGGGTAAACCACAAAGCCTGGGTGCGGAAGGCCTAGGGAGCAACAGCCCTGTGCCTGTGTTACATTGCCCTCTTTTCCAGCCCAAGCCACAACACCCATTTAGTTATTGTGGCAGGTGTCACTTCCCTAGTGCCTAGTTCGAAGAATAATATGCCCGATGATTTTATTTCCTCCTAGACAATCCTGAGTATCACTGCCTGCAGCACAAGGATGCTCAGAGAGGTTCAGGAACATTCCCAAGGTCACCGTGCTAATCAAATGATGGACGAGGGATTCAAACCCAAGTCAACCTTGTAAAGCTAGAACACTCTCTAGGGCTCCATGATGTTTTTCTGACAGGCTCTGAGTGGGACTCCACAGACAGTGGAAGCTTCATCTATGCCCATGAAATGATGTGCGGGCACAATGGAGAGGTGTGTCGATGTGTGCGGCTATGGTGCAGGTGACGGGCAGTTGGCAGAGGTGAAAATGAGTTGCCCGCCTCTAAGTGGGAATGTCTACATGGGTGTGTCTGGGAGCCTGGTATGTAGGCACAGAGTATATTGAACCTGGGGCACCAAGGAAGGCTAAAGGTGAATATAGAGATCTTGAATTGGCAGTGGGGTGGGAAGACTCTAACACACACCCCTTTCTCAACTCCCAACTCCAGTGTACCCTCAAAATCTCCCCAGCCCACTCCAACCCTTTGCCCTTTACAACAGGGCCCAAAAAGTGCGATCCTCCCCTCTCCCCATGTGCTTAGCTCTTCTCCAAAATAAGAGTGGTGGGATTGATTCTCCCACCAGTACAGCAAGAAGGCAGACACACTCAGATCAGTATTTCCCACTTCAGGAAGGAAGGAGGAAGCAGGGACCCAGGGAGGGGAAATGGTCACAGGGCAGGTGAGGGGTGGGGCAGGGCTTGTGTCTCTGCCAGTCCACAGGGTTAGGCCAAGCTCTTAATGGTCAGGGGTGGGGTTTCATCCAAGGAAGCCACTCCAGGAGGCAGAGAGCAGGGAACAGCCCCAGACAGAATATTGGGAGGGAAGGGCCTGGAGCACTTTTTGCAGGGTGCAGAGGAGCCTAAGCTAGCCTGATTCTGGGGTTTAAAACCAAAGCTTTAGCTGGGAATGTGTGAAGAAGGGTGACAGAGGATTTGATTTTGAGCTAACATCATTTCATCATTTCGGAATGTGCATGGTAGGCGCTTGGGCAACATGAAAGTTTTATTTTTTTTTAATGAAGTTACTAGGGAAAAGGCTTAATTTTGGGCTTGGGATCATAAGGAAGGCAGTGTAATCTGATGGGAAGAGGTAAAGATGGAGGTCAGCACCATGGCCTAGAGGCTAAAGTCCTTGCCTTGAACGCACCGGGACACCATATGGGACCAGCAGCCCCACTTCTCATCCAGCTCCCTGCTTGTGGCCTGGGAAAGCAGTTGAGGATGGCCCAAAGCCTTGGGACCCTGAACCCACGTCGGAGATCTGGAGGAGCTTCCTGGTTCCTGCCTTCAGATCGGCATAGCACTGGCCGTTTGCTCTCTTGGGGAGTGAATCATCAGATGGAAGATCTTCCTCTCTGTCTTTCCTCCTCTCTGTATATCTGACTTTGTAATAAAAATAAATAAATCTTTTTTTTTTTAAAAAAAGGTGGCGGCTAGCTTTGTTACTATGTGATCGGGCCCCAGTCTTCCAATCTGTAACAAAGAGATATTAACATCCTTGTCTTATAAGTAAGGACTTAGAGGGACAAGTTAAAATGTATCTACAAGTAAGGCTAGAAGCAGTAGTGGAGGAACAGATTTACAAATGCTTATCAAACTCTTGGGAGAGGGGAAAGGGGACTCAAAAAGTCCAATGAACATGTGTATTTATGGGAAAAATGTGTAGATTTAAAAAATTATTTTACAGCCAAGTAAACTTATCTTTTTATTCCATTTTCCATGATCTTTTTGAAGTGCTCCCTATTTGTCCGAGGCACTGAGGACAACTTAACTCTGTTCCTCATCATGACTCCAGGGGAATACTGAGGCACAGAGAGGATACCAAACTTTACTGGCTCCCCAGCCAGTCTGTGGGGGATCCTGCTATGGATCCAGCAGTTGGGCTGGAGTCTGTCCATAACTACTGCACTTGGCTGCCTCTACAAACACAAGGCCACTTCCAACAGGAAGCTGGGGCTGGGGTTCAGCCACCGGAGAGCAGGGGCTGGGGCGGGGGGTCAGCTGCCAGGGAGCTGTGGGTCAGGGGCGAGAGCAGGGAGAGTACTTCCAGCTACCACTCTGGAGACACGCCATGCCCAGGTTCTACTCGCATACTTCTCTCCCCTTGCTCCAGACCCTCCACTGGGGCCGTGGGTTGGTGACTTCAAGTCCGGAGACAGGTGCAAAGGACAGGCAACATAGTTGGGGTGGAGAGGGGTTAAAAGAGCAGTCCCCAGGACACAGAAGATCTGACTGCCAAGCTGGGCAATGGCTTTATCACTCTCAGCCTCAGTTCTACTGCCTGTGACAAGGGGTCAACAATCCAGTTGTCTGGTTGTTTTCAGGATTAAACAAGATTGTGCATATCAAGTTCTTTTGTGGTTTAAGGCATATAATAACCCCTCCCCTACTCCTATAGAGGTGGATACACAAGCATTTGGTTTAGTGGAAGAAAACTGGTAAAAAGAGAAGAAAACTTGCAATATAATAGAACAGAAATATCACAGAGCTTGCCTCAGTGAGGTCTGGGACTTACGCTGCTGTGGGGACGTCTGCTGAAATGGCAGGAGATATCCCTAGACTCTCTGGCATATTCCATCCCATCCATCTGTATCCTCAGCTAGGGGCGTGGGAGCTGGTGGGTGATGCTAGGCTGGGTCAGAAGCTCAGAGCAGAAAAGCTGCTATTGGATGCTACCAAGCAAGGGGAAAATCTTTCCACCTGTACTACCCTGCTTCATTCCAGGATAAACTGTGTAGTAACCACACTTTGGCAAGGAAACCAAGGGTTCAGACAGGTTAGGGAACTTGTCAAGGTCACACAGCTGAAAGCACAGCAGAGGCAGGATTTAAACTCAGGCCTCTATGAGGCCAATAAACCCGGAGAGAACTTGTAGGCTAGCCAAACAGGGGTTCTTAGTTCCCCGATCCACCACCCACCCACAGGTTAAGACTACACTGGGTCAGCCAACAGCAGGTTCCAGCATGTGCCTCATGGGGCATGCCAGGGCCAGGCCTTCTGGTGCCCTGGAGGGTCACCACGGTGCCAGCACACTCCCACCTAGAGCCTGGCAGAGACTGCTGTTCCCCTGGTGAGGCAGGACCTGGGGCCACCCTCCCACTCCCCAAGCCTCCCCCAGGAGAGCTGTGCACAGCCTCACTGGATAGGGGCTTGCAGCAAACCCAGAGAGAGTGCCACATTGGTGAGGAAGATCCAGCTCCTGAGGGTGGCAGAGGACGCAAGCTAACTCCCAGTGGCCAGAACCTCTCTGCTCAGGGACCCAAGCAGGTGGCAGCCCAGAGCCCCAAGGACAGTCAGCCCCTCTGACCTCTCCTGCCCCCTTCCCAAGCGTCCCTCCCCTTGCTGGGGAGTAAGATGACCAGCTTTAGGACTGTCTGTCCTAGGTGGTCAACACGGGCAGAAGGGACAAAGCGCGACCCCTCCTCCCAGCAAGGCCTTTGCACCCTCCTGGGCCGGTAGTTCCGCTCCCCAATGCGTTCCCCACCGCACCCTCCGACGCAGGCCCGGGCGGCTCATGAATGAACTGCACTGTGTGGGGCGCAAGGAGAGAACACACTCCCTGTCGCTCAAGCCAGCAGCCTCTCTAGCCCGCCAGGCCCGCCGGCTGACCGGTCTCCACCCCGGCCAGCCCGGGGGCATCAGCGGCCGGCCTCCAGCCAGCAACACCAGCGACCAGAGAACCCTGCCCTTGTCCGAGCCTAAGCAATACCCCCTCCCGCTCCCGGCCAGCTTAGGGTGCGCCAGGCCCCTGCACTAGAGACGCGAAAAAGAAAAATGAGATCCAGGGCATCAGACTTGGCGACCCCAAGCTCCAAAACTCGGGGGCGGGGGCGGCTGCTTTCCACCTCCGCGGGAAGACGGGGCGCAGCGATGGGGTCACCAGAGGGGCGCGGGGCGGGCGCGCACCTGAGCCCGGCCAGGTGGGACAGAAGAGTGGCAGGTGCCAGGAGGACTGAGGCGAGGTGGGGGGGTCTCCGCCCCTTTGGGATCTCCCGAAGGGTGGGGGGAGCTGGAGACCCAGGACGGTGCACATCTGGTCCCGCGACAGGGGTCGGGGGGGTGGTGGTGTGGATGGAGAACTCACATTTGGCTAGGGATGGTGCGGGGTTGGGGGCAGCAGGGTCCCCGCGGGCCCGAGCACCTCTGGGTCCCGCAGGAGCTGCTAGAAGGGAGGGGACGCGCAGCAGAGCCCGGGTTTTTCCTTTGGGTGGTGCTGGTGCTGGTTGCTGGTGCTGGCGGTGGAATCCTCTACAAAGCCAAGGGACAGGGGGGTTGGGGAGGGGGTCGCGTACTCACCCCCAGGCGCAGACGCGGCTCCGGCTCCGAGCCCCGGGTTGGGGCGGGGCGGGGCGGGGGAGGGGGAGGGGGATCGCGGGGCGGCTCGAGCTCCGGGCTCCTGCGGCGGCCGCGGCAGCCGGTGGGGGAGGGGGAGCGGAGGAGGGAGGGCCGGGGCGGGGCCGCGCAGGGCCCACCCCTCACGCCGCACACACGCAAGGCGCGCGCGCGCGCGCACTGGCTCCCCGCAGCCCGGCTGGCCCAGGACCTGGCCGCGCAGGCGCCCGGAGAAGGCCGCGTGCTTGGGGTTGTAGTGGGGAGGCGGCGCTCGGCCGGCGGGGCCTGCGGCGGGAGATTCCGGGGCTGCAAGAGCGGTACGGTGCGGGGAGCGCGCCGGGCTATTTGCTGTCTTCTCGCACTACCCACCTCCTCTGCGCCCGGTCCCTTTCTTCCCGGCAGAAGGGGACGCACCTTCCTCCCCGCTCCCCCGCATTCCCCGCCGCTCGGTGGGTGAGAGAGGTGGGAGTGGGAGCACCGTGGGCCCTTTGCGGGCTGAGGGACCGGCGGGAGGGTCCCGACCTCCTCTCCCGGAGTCCCCACGGCTCTGCGTCTCCCTCCCTGGGTCGGTGTCCCGGCGTGCGCTTTCTTGCCTTGGGGAAGTTGGGGGTGCGGTCGGTCCCCCGGCGCGTGTCCTCTGCTGCTGGGTCTTGCGTCCTGCTCCTGCTCCTGCCCTGCCGGGACGAGAGGGGAGTTTGCCCTGCCGCTCCGCGGTGTCTGTCAGGCGTGTGTGTGTTTGTGTGTGTGGCGCTCGAGAGCGCGCAGCTCCCAGTCTAGGGGCTTCCCTGGTTTCTCATTTCACAGGAGACTGCGACCTGCAGTGATTAAGATTGGAGGGGGGGCGGGAATCGCCGTCCGGGTTCCTGGAAACGGGGATGGTGCGGTGCACAGGCAAGTTGCCTCCCACGGTGGGCGGCCAGTGCACCTAGCCACCGCTGGAGACAGAATGGGCAAAATTTCTAACGAGGGTTTTCAGGGAAGAAATATATTCACCGAGGCTTACTTAATAGTTTGGGGCAGGCTTAAAGCTGGGCCTCAAAGCTCCTGCTGGACAAAAAGGCTTTCCTACCAGGAGTATGCGGTTCTTGTAGAGGCAGTGATCTTTAGTTCTGTGGCCTGCTGGCTTTCCAGGGTTCATTAGTTATCTGTGGAATGCACCTGCAAGGTTTTGAGTTGCCCTAGGTTGAATGTGCTCCAAGCTGAGTCCCGTTGGAGAATTGGAAATTAGTATACTCGATGAGAGTTGTCATGTAAAGAATGGGGCAGGTGTTTTGCCTAGTGGTGGAAACACGTTACTACCTGGGTTCAATTCCCAGCTCCTGTTCTTGGATTCCAGCTTCCTGCCCTGGGAGGTGACAGTGATGGCTCAAGTGTTTGGGTCCCTGTAACCCATTAAAGGCCCTGTATTCATTTGCTGCGTTTTGGCCTGGCCGTTGGGTTAGTTCAAGAATAGGCCAGCAGGTGGTTCATTCATTTTCTCTACAAATTTTGAAAATGGAGTTAGCATCAGAGGATGCTGACTGAGTAGAGATATGTTTTAGTCTTTTTACTGTGTTTTATTTGTTTTTAAAGATTTGTTTATTGTTTTTAAAGATTTATTAATTTTTTTGGAAAGTCAGAAGACAGAGAGGAAGATCTTCTGTTCAATGATTCATTCCCCAAGCAGAACTGCACCGATCTGAAGCCAGGAGACAGGTCTTCCACCTGGTTGCAGGGTCCCAAGGCTTCGGACTGTCCTCAATTGCTTTCTCAGGCCATAAACAGGGAGCTGGATGGGAAGCGGGGCTGCTAGGATTAGAACCGGTACTGATATGGGATCCTGGTGTGTGCAAGGTGAGGACTTTGGCTGCTAGGCCACTGTGCTGGGCCCAAAATTTATTTATTTGTCTTTAATTGGAAAATGAGATAGGCAGAGAGGAGGAGAGGCAGAGAGGAAGATCTTCCTTCCATTGATTCACTCCCCAAGTGGCCGCAATGGCCGTTGCTTACCCGATCTGAAGCCAGGAACCTGGAGCTTCTTCCTGATTTCCCACATGGTTTCAGGGTCCCAAGGCTTTGAGCCGTCCTCGACTGCTTTCCCAGGCACACAAACAGGGAGCTGGATGGGAAGTGGAGTAGCTGGGACAGGAATTGGTGCCCATAATGGGATCCTGGCACGTTCAAGGCAAGGACTAGCCACTAGGCTATCGTGCCAAGCCCATATAATATATTATTGAAAAAGAGTGACAGAGAAAGGTTTTCCATCTTCTGGTTCACTTCCCAAATGGCGGTCATGGCCAGGAGCCTGGAACTGCATCCATGCCTGGCACATGATGGGTGGCAGGGACCCAAGCACTTGGGCTGTCTTTTGCTGCTTTCCCAGGAGCATTAATGGGGAGTTGGATATGGCTTAATGTGCTAAGTCAACGTACCAGCCCGTGGATATTGGTTCTTGACACCTGCTTGAGGTACAAGGTCTTCGAAGGCATTTCTGTGTGCCAGGTTGGCCTTGTTTGAGAAGCATTGGTGTCCTGTATGCTCCTCCTTGCCTCTTGTTCTCAACCTGTGTTACTGTTCAACTTGTCCAGGAGCACACCATTGCACACCAGGACTGTGCGGTACAGGACAGACAGAGCGGTCTCTCCAGCAAAGGAGCTGCCCAGAAAGAAGAAAGTTCATTCTTCATTCCCTGGACATGGGTGCAGTTGACCGATGAGAACTTTGCTGGGGGTAGGAAATGAGTTGGCTTTTTTTTGTTGTTAGGGCAGTTTTTCAGCTGTAACAGGAAGATGGGGGCCAAGCTGTCTGGTGAATTGCCTGGTGGGCAGAGTTTTGTAGGTTTGGATTCCCATGGTTGGTTTGGTAAGCAGTTTAGATGAGAAGGAATCGCTGTCGTGTTTTATTTTATTTGTTTGAAAGAGTCTAACACACGCACAGAGATCTTGCCTCTGCTGGCATAGTTTCTAAATGCCTGCAACATGGAGCATGGTCAGACCAGGACCAGCAGTCAAGAACCCCAGCTGGGTCTCCTATGAGGATGGTAGGATCCCAAGGATGGTAGGATTGCTGCCTCACAGGCTCATTAACAGGAAGCTAGATTGGAAGCCTGGAATAGGCAGGATCGGGTATTCTCCTATGGGATGCAGGTGTCATAAGAGGCTTGCAATGTTTGTCCCTGCTACAGTTTATAAAGAACTTTTTTCTTTTATTTGAGCGGGGGGGGGGGGGCTTGGAAGAAATTCTCCATTTTATCCTTCGTTTCTTGAGTGTATAGTTTCTGTGGAGTTTTAAAGATTTATTTTTTTTGTTTTGAGAGGCAGAGCAATAGAGAGACAGACAGGGGTCAGATTTTCTGTCTGCTGTTTCACTCCTCAGGTGCCCTTCAGTGTGGGATGCTGGCATCCCAGAAGGCACCTTAACCTCTGTGCCACAAGACTGGTCCTTCCCGTGGCGCTTTCTGCATGTTGTGTTCTGCGTGGTTATGAAACTCGTGTGATACATTGTTTTCTGAAACAATAGGATTCACTCTGAGGCAGAATAGCACTTGTAATGAATAGCTGAATGACAGACCAGAGTTACCTAGTTTTTGGGCTGCTGGAGATGACTAGACATTATTTTTAAGAGATTTATTTATTTTTATTTGAAAGGCAGAGTTGCTGAGAGAGGAGGAGAGATCTAGAGATCTTGCATCTGCTGCTTCACTCCCCAAATGGCTGCAACAGCTACAGCTGGGCTGATCTGAAGCTGGGTGACAGGAGTTTCTCTCCCAAGACCTGGGTCATCCTCTGCCATCTTACCTGGCCATTAACTGGGACCTGAGTCAGAAGTGTGGAACAGCCGGGACTTGACCGAGTGCGCACATGGAATACCACCACTGCAGGGGAGGAATTAACTGCTCTGTCACAGTACTGGTCCCAGAAGTCATTTCTTCCATATTGTTACTCTGAAAATGTTTTATTTTTTTTGTATTTAAAAGGCAGAGATAGACACACAAACTTGAGAGCTCCCATGCATAGTGGCTGCTGAGGTTGCTGGGCTGGGAGCTGGGGACTCACTGCAGTTCTCCCACATGGGCAGCAGGGACCCACCTACCTGAGCTAGTAACCTGCTGACTCCCAGGTAGGGGAGCCGGAACTCAAACCCAGGCACCTGATGCAGCAGGCAGGCATCCAAGGAGCCTTTTAAATCGCTACACCAAAAGCCTGTTCTATAGCTGGTTTTTTTTTTTTTTTTAATTTTAGATGTATTTTTATTGGAAAGTCAGATATACAGAGAGGAGGAGAGACAGTGAGAAAGATCTTCCGTCTGCTGATTCACTCCCCAAGTGAGTGCAACGGCTGATGCTGTGCTGATCCAAAGCCAGGAGCCAGGAACTTCTTCCAGGTCTCCCACGCAGGTGCAGCGTCCCAAGGCTTTGGGCCATCCTCGACTGCTTTCCCAGGCCACAAGCAGGGAGTTGGATGGGAAGTGGAGCTGCTGGGATTAGAACCGGCAGCCATATGGGATCCTGGCACATTCAAGGCGAGGACTTTAGCTACTAGGCCACGCCGCTGGGCCCTATATCTGTTTTTAAAATAATATGGTTATGAATCTGAACATGTCATTGATTTTTTTTTCAACTCAGTTGTTTTGTTGTTGTTTTAAAAAGCTAGGCAAGTAACAGTTTAACCTGTTGTGCCTTAACCTCCTGCACCACAATGCCAGCCCTCTGCCTGTACTTAGGACAGCCATGCTGTAATCACTGTATGTCTTCAGGGAGTGTGTATGAACTTGGTTAAAATCCTTCCCTGAAATCCATTTAAAGCAAAAACAAACAAAAAATAAACCAGGCAGAAAGAGAACACGCTTCCATCTGCTGGCTGATTCCTAGAATGCCCACACAATAGCCACACAATAGTTGGGAACTAAATCCAGATCCCCCTGGGTGGAAGGAGGGACCTCACGACTTGAATGATCACCTGTGGGATCCCATCCTGTGCCTGAGAAGACAGTTGGAAGGAATTGGGAGTAGAGGTGGGAAGCCCACGCAGGCACTTTGATATGAGAAGTGGGTGGCCCTGTGGGTGTCTCATCATGTCCCCGAGGCTTTCCTCTGTAGAGTTTAGGCTGTGGCTTGCCTTGGCGTGAACCAGTATGATTTTTACATGTGTGGTAGCAGCGAGGCCTTGTGGCTGCTGTTTAGATCTCATTGGAAACAATGTATACGTGTTTCTAGACCTTTGATAGTAAGTATCACATTTGCTGGCTCTCAAAGCTCAGTCTACCTCCCTGTGGAAAGCAAAAATGAGGCCCAGTGCCCAAGTCCCCGAAGTCCTCCTCGGGAGCCTGGGTAAAGGGC